GAAGAAGAAGAAGAAGAAGAAGAAGAAGAAGAAGAAGAAGAAGAAGAAGAAGAAGAAGAAGAAGAAGAAGAAGAAGAAGAAGAAGAAGAAGAAGAAGAAGAAGAAGAAGAAGAAGAAGAAGAAGAAGAAGAAGAAGAAGAAGAAGAAGAAGAAGAAGAAGAAGAAGAAGAAGAAGAAGAAGAAGAAGAAGAAGAAGAAGAAGAAGAAGAAGAAGAAGAAGAAGAAGAAGAAGAAGAAGAGAAGGAAGAAGGAGGAAGGAAGGAAGAAAGAAAGAAAGAAAGAAAGAAAGAAAGAAAGAAAGAAAGAAAGGAAAAAACTGGCCAAGCTCACAATGAAGCAGAAGGGATGTTTACAATAAGTGAGAGCACTGATCAAAAGCACCGATTTAGAGAATGGTGTCGCTTTCTCAAAATTATACAACCTCTTATTACGCTGCTCACTCTGGTTTCATCTCTCAGTCTTCAAAGACATGCCAGGACACTGGGCAGGATGAAAGGGGGAGTGATTAAAGAGAAGAAAACGGTACCACAGGAGGCCTCAGAACACTGAAGAGTCCTATGGAAGGCCCAGGGTTCTGACTTGGAGCGCACCGAGTCTGTATTCCTATACGCTCTCTCGAAGTGGAGCTCCACACCTGGAAAATGTACTTTTAACGAGGGGGAACTGTGACCCTGGTCTAGCAAAGCATTCGAGTCTTCTCCGATGGCCTGGACAGAGTCCCAAGAGATGCCTGCCCGGGAGACAGAGATGGGAGGAAGCACAGGAGTTTACCAACTCTGCTGAGGCAACGGAGTCCTCAGCAGTGGAGGGGACACAGCAAGAGGAGGGACAGAGCTTCCTGAAGGAACCCCGGAGCTACCGGAAGGGCCCTGCAGTGTTGCGAGGATGTGTGATCTTAAGTGTGATGACTTCTGGGTGTGTTAGAATTCTTTTGACACTTGCAACACAACCTTGTCATCTAAAACTTCACATTCAAGAACCAAGCAATCCAGCTACCAAAAAAAAAAAAGCAGCAGTATCTCATAGTCTTTTAACATAAATTTATTATTTGCATCGACACTGACCCAGGTCCTGCTCCTTGTATTTTTTGGGGGAATGTCCTTTACTCTAACAAATTGCTGAAGCCGCACTTCATTAGAAATGCTTCAGAAGAGCTGGGGAAAATGGCTCAGCTGGCAAAGGTGCATACTACCTCTATGAACCACCTACATGGCTGTCCCAAGGTAAGGTTAAAGGGAGGTTTTATTGTAGACATGAGGCAGAGAACAGCCAGAGGCAAGAGCCAAGAGAGAAATCAGTAGACTGAATAAGGCCAGCAGGCTGGGCCTGGCCAGGAGAGAAACAGAGTAGAGGTGGGCATGTGGGGAGGGATGAGAGATGAGAGATGAGAGATGAAGACGAAGAGAGGGCTGTGTGAGGAAGACACCCTATACGTGAGCTTTTAATTTTTATTGTGTGTGTGTGTGTAACAGAGAGGGGGTGAGAGCCCACATGTGGTGGTAACTTATCGAATCAGAAGATTACTTGATGAGAGTGAGCTCCCTCCTTCCACCATGGGTTCGGGTTCCAGGGATCACAGGCAAGTTTGGTTGTATCAGGCCCAAAGGCAACTCCATTTCTCCACATTCTGTCAGTTAGAAAAAAGAAAGCCTCCTCTGGTTTCCCTTATGACAGAAGAGACAAATGGCTACCATGCTTTCTACTAGCATATCTGCCCTCGATGTGTGCTGGGCATCCTCAGATGAAGGATGCCTGTGTCCCCGGACAGTGACCCTCAGCTGTCTACCCTCCAGAGGTGCTGGATGCTGGTGGTGGGAAGAGTCTGGCTACATTACCAAAGAGCAAATGTAGCCACACATGCTGTCTTCCACCCCTTTTGCCGAGGAAGACTCCAGCACACCTGCAGCTGAAACCAGAGTCAATAGTGGACAAAATCAAGGATCCAATCCTGAGGTCACATGGGCTGGGGTGTGGAACCTGGAAGGGAAAGGGAAACCCTCTAACTGGCATTTGTCATGCCACTGAGAAACATCACCACCAAGAAATCCAGCAAGGTCTTCATCAGGTCACCCGCATGGGTGATGTGTTAGTCAGGATCAGCAAGCGGAGTGTAAGCACAGGGTAAATGGTGGGGAGACAAGCCTGCTGGACATCTAAGAGGAGGCCCGCCTGTGAACTGTTAGCGCCTCAATTTATGCGAGGAGAGGAGTTGAGAGTTTCCGCAGTGTCAGCAATGTTTGTATTTTTCACTGTCATGTGATCTGGGCAAGACACACACTCACTGACCATCCTGTGATGGTCACGCAAGAGAAGAGGAAAACTGTTCATATGTGTCAACCGTAAGTCAACAGGCATGTGAGCCCAGAATCCTTTCACCAAACGATCATGTTAGTGCTCACCAGGATGAACTCTAAAAACTGATTTGTGACCAAAAGATTGAGAATGAAACAAGCTGGTTTTAATTAGGGTAAAATGCTTGAAGACAAGACAGTGTTCCGTCTGTTATGAGTGTTGTTAAATATTTTCTCCTTATGAGTATGGTTGTTGCTCAGTTGGGTTATCAAAGACCAGTCTCATTTGTCACATTAAAATATTAAATATGGGGTGAGTTCATAACTCAGTGGTATAGTACTCCCCTAACTTGCCCAAGGCTCTGCACACAAAAAACTAAATACTGATACCATGTTTGTTTATTATATAGAAGCAGTATGTTAAAAGGTTTAAACATTTTTTTTAAAAAATGAATTTCACTACAGTTTAAGAACCACTGCCTTAAAAGAAATCCCCAGGCAGGGAGGGAGGTGTGTGTGTGTGTGTGTGTGTGTGTGTGTGTGTGTGTGTGTGTGTGTGTGTGTAAATGGGTAGCCAAAAACAAGCAGAAGGGATGCTACTGTGTCTGGTGATTATATATTGCACAGTCTCCACAACAAACAAAACCATTTATTTCCATTTGGAGTTAAATGAAAACATCTGCTGGCCAGTAAGCTTGGGGCCACTAAGGAAAGTGTGTCACTTCTGTCACTCCGGGGTGGACTCATTGACTGTAAGACCACAAGTACCTAAGATTCAGAGCCCCAGAGCTTCCCCTCAGCCTCTTGGACTGTCTCACACCATCTTCCCCCACTGACTCTTCCATTCTCAGTGGACTCTGCCCAGAAGAGGACCAGCTGCCTCTGGTCCTGCTGGGAAATGGGAGCCTCACTCTGCAGGCCAGGCTGTGAGATCCCACGAGCCTGGACCTGGGTAGCTTGGGGTTCCACTTTCCTTCTGCCACGGAGTAACCCACAAACTGAAAGCAAGTCTTCAGATGTGGATGGAGGAACCCTTTAAGAAAGTCAGCCTTATCTGGCAAATTGATGGTGGGTGGAATGGGGGTGGGGTGGGCAAAGCAGAAAATGTGCACCTCCAAGCAGACTTCAGGATAGCATTGGGGCTGGTGTGAAACCCAGGTGTCCCGTATCCTCTCATGTCGCTGTGCAGGGTAAACAGGATGCAGCGGGTGCATGGTCCTAAGAAGTGCATCCGTGGAAGTTCGAGGGGCAATTCTCTGGGTTGTATGTGAAGAGACAAGGGTGAGGTGTCTGCCATTTTGTACATGTTTAAAACTTCAATTTTTTTTCTTCCTTAAAAGCCACTGGCACACCTTCCAAATCCTCAAGACATCACATCTTTTTTGAGTCCCCCTCTCCTGTGACTTGTAGCCGTTTGGGGCCATTGAGAAACCAGAGATCCCTGATCTGAGCAGAAGCAAGATCTTGCAGGGTACTGAGCTTGCCAGATCCACGCGGCACCCTCTGTTGGGGAGCAACATGGAGTTTGGTCTGCTTTGCATGAGTCTGCCATCTCAGAAGACCCTCATCAAGTCCATCAAAGAGCGCATGGCGCCACAGCACGGCCTGATGATGCCCATGGCCAGGCCGTCAGTCAGCGGGCACAAACGAGCTGCTCCCCAGTTGTTTGTGGTCAGAACTCACACTAGCACTCTACTTAAACGGTCTCCATGGTGCATACACATGGTCCCCGCTCAGAAGGAAGATGCGCTGTGCTGCTAAAAATCCACAGAATGAAAAGCACTAAAAGCTGCCCCTCCACATACCCTCCAATGCAAATCATGCTCCCAAAGACACATTTTATTGCATTTAATTACAGGAGAAAAGTGACACTTCTCTGCCAGCAAGATTCCTAGAGGACACACTTAGAGAGCCACCCCTCCACACAAGCTCCACATGCCAACACACTTATTCGACTCCATGTGTATACATGCACACACCCCATTGATTCATCCGTGAGCACAGATTCACAGGCAGACTGACTCATTCATGCACATGCACACACACGAAGGAACACTCATAACCATGAGACTATGTGCACAACCCACTCATGTACATACAACCCTTGTGTATTTACACACATCAACATACTCATTTATACACAGAATTCATTCATATATACAAACAAGTTCACACACTCATGGGTACACACGTATGTGCACACTCTTTTGCAAACACACTCATCTGTACGCTCACACTTTAGCTTGCTAATGGCTAACGGGAGCCTTTTGACGCTAATGGCAGGGCATGCTTCCACTTCTCAGAGGATTGGGCAACTCCACAGGTCAAGTACTCAGAATCTTCTCCCTTCACTCACTTCTGAGGGAGTGACAGGACAGAGGTCAGCACCAAATAAAATCGAACCAACCTGGGCAGGAGCGAGGGTGGTCCACATCACAGAAGGGGGAAGTAAATTGCACACTTCAGAAGGCCATGTCAACAGCACAGACAGCGCATTTGCATGGCCACCACAAAAGATATCACTCCAAAGGCCACTTCCTCTGTCCACCCGGATGACTAAGGCAAGAAAACAGCTACTTCTCCACATCCTGCAGCTCTCTCAGAGTGGCCTGCAGGAGCCATCGAAGCTTCCAGAACACACTGGAGGAGGCAGTCCTGGCGTTTCCCGAGGGCACCCCATGGTGAGCACACTCCTGAACAGTCTGCTGTAGCTGCAGCCGCAGCTGTGGGGAGATGGCAGGGCTCCTGTGAGTTGAAGAGAACCAGTGTCGAAATATTTTATCACAGATGACCTGAGGGGGAAAGTGAGAGGTTAATTCAGGGAAGCAAGTCATTCTTGACATCTCCTGGGTCTCAGGGACACCCTTTCCCTGCTCCTCTGGGGAAGCCTCATAGAGAGAACCTTAACATTGAGCAGAAGGCTTCCTCCCTCTGAAGTAGAAAATTCCATTTCCAGCCCCAAAGCAGAGGGAGACAATTCTGGCTGATGCTTCAAAAAAGATTAACCCTATTTCCAAAGAAAAGCAGAGTCCAGTCACAGGCAAACATTGCCATGTTAGGAGATAGCCCCTCTGCAGATCTGGAAGGACTAAACACATTTCCCAAAGGAACCACCGCAGTCATAGGCAGGGGCTTTTGAGTAAGGAGTGGCCCATGGCAAGGCAGAGAGCAGCCATGCATGTTCTGTCCCTCACTGAGATGGGCTGTCCCACTCACAGGGTGATAATAACCACCTGCAGCAGTGTCCACAGAACATTGGTAAAAAGTAGCCCAGAAGATAAAAGCTTTTATCTTTTTAGTCCTTTGGAGGCCCAGGAGGAGACACACATTCCAGGGGAAGCTGGGCAGGTGCAGGGCCTTGTAAGAAGCCACTGTTGCATACATAGGCTTTACTGCTAAGAGGCTGTGGAATTCAGTGAAGAATAGGGGCTCCTCAGACCCTTCACATATTATCTGCCTACAGATTTCAAGGCCCCCAATCCCACAATGGGAGCACTGTCTGGGAGCCCAGAGAAGTTCCTGACTTTCCTTTACCAGGCCTTCTGTCATACTCATTTACCAAACTCCTTTATACAAAGCGAGTTCCAGGACAGCAGGGACTATTACATGGAGAAACCTTGTCTCAAAAAACAAAAAACAAAAACCCCAACCTTTAATTTACATGTCCCACTCCTTGCAAAAGAGTTATTTAAAAAAATTTCCTCTTTTGACTAGGAATCACCCTTTTCCTGTGAAAAATTTTAAATTTCTAGAAAGATGTACCATAGCTTCAGTCCTCCACAGCAGAGTCACGGGCAGGAGCTGCCGAGTAACAAGTAAGCCCCAACGCTGGGCTCCCCTGAGAGGGTGTGGCTCCTCAGAAGGCTCCGTGCAAACAGAGTACATCTGAAGTATGCCTCAGAGGCCTGTCTGCTGAAGGCTTAGCCACCAGCCTACATGCTGTTAGGATGTGGTGGCGCCGTGAAGAGGTGTGAGTGAGTGAGGTCATCAGTGTGTGCCTTGCAAGGGATCCCTGGATGGAGGTCTTTCTCTCCCTCTTTGCTTCCCAGCCACTATGAGGTTAAATAGATGTTCTTTGCCACACAGCCAGGATGCTGTGCCCCACCACTGACTGAAAAGCAAAGGAGTCAGTGGACCATGAACTGAAACTTCTGGAATCACAATCAAAAATTTTCTTCATTATAAGCCGATTGAACTGGGTGTTTCATCACAGTGACTGAAAGCTGACTAAAACAACAAAGTGTTTTTCCAATAAAATGCTACTTAGTGGACATGGGATCATAGTATATAAATGCTGATTGATAGCCTGATTTTTCCCCATGTGGTGCTTTATACTACCACACAAAGAAAGCACATTTTCACCTCTATCTGTATTCAAAGACAAGAGTCATGCATGAGTCCAGTCACAGCGTAACATCAAGCTAAGGGTAAAGATGCTCATCTAACTCCCTGAAGCTTCAGCTATTAGTTAATAGAGTCTTAATGACTACTCCCAACTGACAAAAGCATTCCGCAATTGAGTTTTGATTAGCATAATTTCAATTACATCTTTAAATGATGAGACAAAATAATTTCCTAAATCCTTCCGCTGTTTGGATTTTGTCATCTGTATCTGTCCCTCCGCCTGGTTTTCTTTGGTTCAAGGTTCCTCTTGCTTCTCAACAGATCTCCAAGAGCCCTCTGTGGCCTGACGTTATAACCTTAGTTCCTGTATCTTTGTTTTTTTTTTAATATGTGCAGTATGTGTGTGGGGGGTTAATGGTGTGTGTATGTGGTGTGTGTGGTGTGTGTATGTATGGTATGTGTGTATGTGTTAAGTGTATGTGTTGTGTGTTGTGTGTGTGTGTTGTATGTGTGTGTCTGAGTGTTGTGTGTGTGTCTGGGTGGTATGTGTGTGTTGTGTGTGTGTGTCTGGGTGGGGTGTGTGTGTTGTGTGTGTGTGTCTGGGTGGTATGTGAGTGTTGTGTGTTTGTATCTGGGTGGGGTGTGTGTGTGTCTGAGTGTTATGTGAGTGTTGTGTGTGTGTCTGGGTGGTGTGTGTGTTGTGTGTGTGTGTCTGGGTGGAGTGTGTGTGTGTCTGGGTGGGGTGTGTTTGTGTGTCTGGGTGGTGTGTGTGTGTGTCTGGGTGGGGTGTGTGTGTGTCTGAGTGGTGTGTGTGTGTCTGGGTGAGGTGTGTGGGGGGTGGGGTAGGGGGTGTGTCTGAGTGGTGTGTGTGTGGTATGTGTGAGTGTGTTTTATGTGTGTGTGTCTGTGTGGTATGTGTGTGTGGTATGTGTGAGTGTGTTTTATGTGTGTGTGTCTGTGTGGTATGTGTGTGTGTTGTGTGTGTGTGTCTGGGTGTGTTGTGTGTGTGTGTCTGGGTGGTGTGTGTGTTGTGTGTGTGGGTGGGTGGTGTGTGTGTGTTGTGTGTGTGTCTGGGTGGGGTGTGTGTGTGTTGTGTGTGTGTCTGGGTGGGGTGTATGTGTGTCTGTGTGGTATGTGTGTGTTGTGTGTGTGTGTGTCTGGGTGGGGTGTGTGTGGGTGTGTCTGGGTGTTATGTGTGTGTGTGTGTCTGGGTGGGGTGTGTGTGAGTGGGGTGTGTGTGTGTCTGTGTGGTATGTGTGTGGTGTGTGTGTGTGTGTCTGGGTGTGTTGTGTGTGTTTTGTGTGTGGGGGGTGTATGTGGGGGTGTGTCTGGTTGGGGTGTGTGTGTGTGTGTCTGGCTGGGGTGTGTGTGTGTTGTGTGTGTGGAGGGGAGGGCATGGGTAGGTCAGAGAACAGTTTTCAGGAGTCACTTCTCTCTACTACATGAGTTCCAGGAGTCAGAACCAGAGTTGGGCTTGGCAAGTGACTTTGCCTCCCACAGAGCCACTTTTGTCAGCCAAGTTTCTGTTAATGCAAGACATGTGGATGAGATGGAAGACGGTGGGGACTCAGGTGAAAACCATCCTCTCTGCGTGGCTCGAAGGCAGGGGTAATGCAGATTCACCAAGGGGTAGCTCCATGTGGAAGGGCACCCCAAAAGTCCAAGCCCACATCATGGGTGAGCCTTCTGGAAGTGGCGATTGCTGCAGCAGCCTGCATAGACTCCAGTGGTAGAACCAGGGCTTCGGTCTGGCCTCAGTAGATTCACCAGATTGATAGCTCTGCTGCCCGGGTCTCTCCTTCCTGGCACGAAAGCCCACACTGGGCTTTCCTGATGCCCTGGCTTAACCAGTTATGCTTCGGCTCAGTTCCCATCAACCCTGAACCCTTGGGAGGACGGACTAGAGGGAGGCATGGCTGGGGGAGTGGGATGAATGATAGAATTAATAGGTAGAGGTTATCAGGCAAGAGCACAGAAAGGAGGAAGGCAGCAGTGAGGGAACCCACCCTCCGAAGCAGCTTGGGCATCCCTCTGGTTACACTCAGCACTAGGCACTTGGGGGCCCAAGTTCACACTCACCCATTTGAAAGCTTCAGGTGAGGGTAGAAGGGGACCAAAGAGAAGGCATGGAGTCTCTCTACCTGCAGACACACTCTGACAAGGCTGGAGGCAGTTCCTACTCATATATCCATTTCTGACCTCTTGGATCCACATCTTCCTTCTCCCTGTGACAGCCCCTGCTACCTGTCCTGCCTATCTGTGATGCTGTCTGTCCAGCCTCTCCTGTTGGTCTCCCACTGCCTTGTATCTTGGGACTCAGCCTCTCAGGATTCAGCTCTGGCTCTCATTCTTTGTCTTTAGTGAGAATTTACAGACATTGGCAGAAACAGCAGCTCTCCTCCCGTGGGAGGGTCGTTTGGCTGGGAACATTCCTCCTTATGGATCTCCAGGGTTGATGAGGCTGATCTGTCTGGCTAGGCAAGAGTCCCCTTCTTATCTCATCACTCCATGTGCAACCCTCTTGCGGCTGTAAGCTGGCCAACCTTCCCAGAGAGAAGGAAGACCATTCTTTGGCCAACTGCCTGCACGTACCTGCATCCCCCTACTAGAACTTGCAAACAACCTCTCAGAAGCATCCTCTGGTGGAGCTGCAGGGAGAGAAAGGGAGCAGCCCACTAGGGGCTGGTTTGGGACCTCCACCCAGTTGACCCTACTGGCCACTTGGGCAACCACCACCCAGATAGTAAAAAACAAAGAGTGAAGAACCCTCTCATCCTGCATTGGTGGAATGCAATGAGCCCAGAGGCACGCAGACACAAAAGTCATCTCCCCGGCTCTCGGGGCTGTTCACCTGCAGGTTGCTGTTGACACGCTGGGCTCCACACTTATTCACTCGCAAATCACACTTGGAAAAACAGTCAAAGAAGTTGCAATCTTCATCTCCCGTGCAGTTTTGCTCAAGAATTTCCCTCATCTTAGGCTCAAAAAATGCCATGTCTACATCAATAGCTACCACCTGAAAACAGAAAGATGCATGTCAATAATGATAACATGGACAGCAATCAAGGAATAGCATGGCCCTTGTAGTCGAATTAAAGAATAGCATGGGCCTTGTAGTAGAATCAAGGAATAGCATGGGCCTTGTAGTAGAATCAAGGAATAGCATGGGCCTTGTAGTAGAATCAAGGAATAGCATGGGCCTTGTAGTAGAATTAAAGAATAGCATGGGGCTTGTAGTAGAATCCATTTATGTAGCATGGGCCTTGTAGTAGAATTAAAGAATAGCATGGGGCTTGTAGTAGAATCCATTTATGTAGCATGGGCCTTGTAGTAGAATCCATTTGTGGCTCCCTTTCCTGTCCTGGTGTTGAATGGGTCCACATGACTGTGACCATGGAGCCCACCTGTCAGGAGGACATGCCCTGAGAAATGGTTTATTTCCCCAGAGCATTCATAAGTGCTTCCTTTGACAAAAGCTAGTATCATAGACCCTGTCCCAAAGTTTTTACTGTAAAAGATCCCTTGATGTCGCTAACTTGAGCCTAGGATTTAGGATAGTAGCCATTCATATCACCTTCATCTTTGAACCTTCTCTGGACTTTAAGGCAGAACATGAATTCTCTCTCTGTTGATTTTTTTAGAGTTTGTTTTGATTTGTACCTATGTGTTTGTGTGTACTTGTGTGCATGTATGCCACATGTGTGCAAGTACCTGTGAGCCTGAAAGGGGACATTGGCACTCCTGGTGCTGGGTTACAGGTGGTTGTGTGTCGCCTGACCTGGGTTCTGGGGGCCAAAATCAGGTCCTGCAGAAGAGAGTTAGCACCCTCAACCATGTAGCCATCGCTCCAGTACTCTCTTCTGTTTCTTTTGTGACTATCCATGATGTTTGTCAAGACAAATAACAAAAACAATCAGAGACAATCCTCCAGAGAATACTGATATTTGAGAATAAAACCATGAAGTGTTGCCACAATAAGACACAGGTAAAATATTGATAAGTTCATTTAAAGAGGTCAAGGGAAGGGGAAGCTCTGAAAGTCAAAACTGAGGGAGCTGAGGAGGCGCTGAGTTAGTAAAGTGTGCATGAGGACCTGAGTTCAATCCCCAGAACTCATGTCTAAAAATAAACAAGTAAAATGCATTGTAATTCCAGAGCTGTGTAAGAAAAGCAAATAGATCCCTGGGGATCAGTGGCCAAATCCACTTGGTGAAATTCAGGCTAGTAGGAAATCCTATATAAAATGATGATGATGATGATGATAATGAAATTTTAAAGGTGTACAGCTTCTGAGGAATGACACTGGCCTACATACACACAGACCCACAGACACACACACACACACACACACACATAAGACAAAAGCAGGGAGCATAACATCAGAGATGTTGAAACAATCATCCTTGGTCACAATGATTAACAAGCATTTCATCTGTCCAAGGGCAAACACACAGTAGTGGGCCAGACATCCTCATGCCCTTGCAGACATGTTCAGCTTAAGACTGTGCCAGCTTCTGTGAAAGACCGTAGATTTGACAGAGTTCATGTGACAGTCACTATCGGGTATCAGGCATAGCCCCCACTGTCCACTCACTTATATTTATTGTGAGAACTCCATTTTGACTATGCTAAGTTTCACATTTCTTCATACTTCTCAGGGTGGAGATTATAAACACTGTGAGAGACAGATAATTGAGCCCAAGACTCTGAGCAATCTCAGGCTGCTCTGTTTATGGCACATCTGGTACCCAAGTCAACTGACCAGTCAGATGAGCCATGGGAAAATGACAGTGGAAATTAGAATCATCGGGTATAAGCCCAGACCCAACAACATCAACCCTGAATTCCACTGTCAGAGTAAGAACTCTGGGACTGCCAGAATTTCATATTTAGCCTTCTGGCTTCCAACCAAATAGGCTTCAAAAGCCAAAAAAGAATAACATAAATTATGCAGCTTTCCCTTCAACACCTGGATCCCCCAAAAAATAAGTGAACTCGAATCTGCTAGAATCTGGAGTCTACCCAAGTTCAACAGCTGATCGCTTCAAGAAAAGAAGCCATTACATAATGTGACATCTTTGATGGAAATGGTATTCCACAAGCCCTCACAGGTCATTGTGAAAATGTCAGCCACCCCCCCACACACACACCCTGTAGCATCTCAGAGAGGACTTGTTTACTGGTAACATTCAGCTTCGGGAGGCAGGGTCAGTAATTCTACTTTTCTTTTCTTTTTCACTCAGAATCAATGCTGGAAGTGGACTGGCTTCCCAGGGATTATCAGTAAAACAGAAGGAAGGACATAAATTATTTTAAAACGTGTGCAGAATGAGAACAAAGCAACGAGAATTTCTCCCTCTCTCATTATCTTTGCCTAATAATAAACTCAGGCATGGCAAACAATTCATTCTTGTTGTTTGGGGGAGCTGGATTTTTATAATATCTTTATATTTAGTCTTTGACAATTTCATGCATATGAACTATGTGTCCTGATCATATCTACCCCCACTTCTCCCTTCTTACACCCCAACATACACCTCTGACATTTCCCCTTTCCACCTGTGTCCTCTCCTTTTGTTGCTATTTTGGGGAAGATACTAGGGAACCCAGGAGCCTGCTAAGCATTCTACCACTGAGCCTGCCTCTAATTAAAAGTGGGTATTTTCCTTTTTTATTTTCTTTTGTGACTCTGACAATTGAATCCAGGACTTTGTGCTTGCCAGGTTGGAGTCTACCACTGAGCTACATCTCAAGACTATACAATTTATCAATCTTTCCTGCCTCATTTTTGGTCAAATTAATAACTAATATCGTCATTTAGCTTGGCTAAAAACACTAAATATTGATCAAAACTGGGGGCTGGAGAGATGGCCTGTGGGTGAAGAGCACTTGCTGCTCTTTCAGAGGTCCCAGGTTGGTTCCCAGCACCTGCACAGTGGCTCACAAGCTGCCATAACTCCAGTTCCAGGAAACCTGATGCCTTCTTCTGACCTCTGTGGGTACCAGGGACACACATGGTTCAAACACAAACATGCAGGCAAAACACTCATATATGTAAAATAAACCGCAAAAGATTTTATGTGGTACACAGGCACATACCAGGCAAAACACCCATGCACATAATATAGTAAAATAACTAATCTTTAAAATTAACGAGAGCTGTGCTAATGACCCTGCTGTCTTTGTAATTTATTACTAGGGCAGGGACCATTCTCTCCCTGGATTTCTGGTACTCTCCCCAGCCTCTCCACCTCAGTCCCAGTTGTCACACTGTTTCTCTCATCTCCCAGCGAGGAGAGCCAGATTTAGTTTTTAATTTACACTATGGAGCCTAGAATGAATGACAGCTCCTGTGTACCTACAGTATGAACAGCAACAAAACAAACAGGAAACCCTTCTTCATATCTCTCAACATCAGGAGGATCACTGACTTCATCCTGCACAAAATGACCCAAGTAGTATCCTCTACTCATACCTCTTCTGGGCACCTAACTGGAAACACTGGCGACAACCCTCTCTAGGGTAGGAAGCACTGCACCACTCAAAAGTCGTGCTTGTGTGATTTGGGGGTCTCCTTCTTTTCCCACTTGTTCATTTGCAATTACTGCATAGTGCCTGAAGGGCTGCACAGGGAGACTTAGAATCTTCCAATCCTAAATTCTCCTGACTCATGTAGAAGAACCCTCCTCATGGCAGAGGCTTATCGAGGGCTCAAAAATAGAACCCACTTTCTGGAAGCAGGGGTACAGGGGGTCCCCAAACTTGATCACACACCAGAGCCACCAAGAAGGTGGCTGGTCTGTTAGCTTGCTTATATGTTTTGGGGGCAGGAATTCATCATGTAGCCCAGGCTGGCCTTGAACACACCATCTTCCTGCTCGGTCTTCCTGAGTATTGGATTGGATCATAGGTGCTGTCTCTGCCCTCTCCAGAGTCTCAGATTCGGTAGATCTGAGGTGCAGTGTGAGAATTTACAGGGCTGGTAAAACGGCTGAGCAGGTAAAGGCTCTTGTCACCAAACCTAGGACCTGAATTCAACCTACATGGCATTAAGGACAGAACTGACTACAAGTTAACATTGAACCTCTATGCATGTGCAGTGACATTCATGACTCTCACACACAAAATAAATAAGTAAATGTAACAGAAGATGGAATTTGAGATTGCTAACAAGTTATCTAATAAGGATGACCAGTAATAAGCTTCAGGGAGGAGTGGGGACTCTTGATAACAGTGCTATACACTCCTCTCCACTGTGGATCACAAATGAATCTAATACTATTCTCCCATGCAGGTAATCACAGCCGTTGAGAGCTCAAGGGGACAGCACCTATGTCATGCCCAGAGGACAGCATTCCACATTCCAAAGACCCTAAGACTCGGGTACTTTTATGCCCCATCTCAGGTGACTATGACCCCAGGACTCATAATGGCTATAGCCATACTTCAAGTGACTGCGACAGGACTTTTTGGAAGTGGGGGACAACTGCCCGTCTTTCTACTGCGTGTTTCTGCTCACTAAGCTGGCGAGCCTTAGCTAGAGTGGCAATGGACTCTGGAGCAGCAGCTATACTCAGGGCTTTGTCTGCGAGGCACTGGTGAGTTCATAGCAAGGACATAATACAGGAATGAGTGAGCATCGCCAGAGTGCCCTGCCCAGGGTACACACTCTGCAGGAGCCTCCCAGAACCTTCTGGAACCCACCAGAACTCCTTCCAGCTCCATCTTTTCCCATTTAAAGCTATCCATGTATTTTCATCCCCTCCAGAGTGGCCAGAGACAGGGCATTGGGAGGGTACAGTGAGGACAAGGACAAAAACTTAACTACACATGACAATGAAGGCAAATTTAGTTTTCTAGATTTTAACCTGCTTTAAAGAGGTCTACACCAATCCCACGCTGCCTGCCATGAAATCCCATGACCCAGAAATAACTTGTGTCCCTAACCAGGATGAAGAGCCCTGCTCCCCTATAAGCTGTTCCCACAATGAGCAACTCTGTTTGAGCATCACTTACAGCGTAAGAACCAAGTTTCTGCAGGAGTGAGTAACCAGAGTACAGTCCTCCCCACTGCCTACCCTTTGCCCATGACATCACAGGCAGCCCTGCTACCACTTCCCACTGTGGCCAGGGAGGCAACGAGGCCACAGTTAAGAGGCTCAGCATTACTTTTAGCCAAGAGAGGAAGGAGTCGTTACCATCTTACAAAGCATACAGGTCTCTCTTGTCACTTCTCATTCACCACTCAGATATCTGGTGCAGCAGCAGCAGCAGCAGCAGAGCCCCAGAGTTGAGGAGCTGCAGAGTTAGACATCCACCTCTCCTGGGGTCTTCCCTGCTGGCAAGCACCAGAACTGCACATGGCTCTCTAGATGTTGTATTGCAGCCTTGAAACTGTCTAGAATCTCTTCAGAGGAACAATGTCCGAAGGCACTGACTAGATCTCAGCATGCTGGTGCTGTGGACCCAGAATGCCTGGAAGAACAGGCTGCTCCAGCTGCCATCTGCAGTGCAGGAACTACCCCTCCGCAGACCACACAGGTCCTGGACTAGCACTAACTAGTCATCAGAGCTCCCCTCAAGAAAACGAGGCACTTCCTGCCTGGCCTCTACCTCCTGTGGGCTCCTTCGCTGAAGTTCTCCTCTAGAAGCAGATGCATCTATTTAAATCCTCTTCAACCTGGCAAGGAAGTGGTCTGGAACAGGAGTGACCCAGAGCCACGAGGCTGCCCGAAGTTACACTGGCTCCCTTCTGAGCCAACACATTTCTTCCCACACAGACCAGAGCTCCCTTCTCTCTAGTGCAAGCACGGCAGATTGCTTCCACTTACCGTGAAGTCCCTCTTGATGGCAAAGTTCTCAGGCTTGATATCACAGAGGTGGAGGCGGTGGGAGAAGCCACTTTCGAAATGGCTCACCATGTCCAGGAAACTGAGAGCTATGTGGCTGATAGCCTGTGCCTGGCCAGCACCATCCAGAGGGAAGAGAGCCCTGTGGTGAGGGCTACCGGCTGCCAAGTACTCTACCGCATAAAAGTGGCCACAGGATCCCAGCACAGGCAGGATGTGTCGGCTCAGATCTGGCAGCAAGCTGAAGTACACATACTCCTCTTGCTGGAGCAGCGACCACGCACTGGCCAGCTGTTGCCGCCAGCCAGGCCCCTGCCTGGCAGGCCACAGGGAACCTACGCTGTTGTTGGGCAGCTCCAAGCCCAGCGTGTTCTTGACCTCCCCAGCCACCATCAGGAGCAGCTCAGCCTCGGGGATGCCTGGGGCACCTGGCCCGGCTTCCTCCTCCAGCAGATTTAGGGTAGGGAAGCTGGAGAAAGCCTCCCTCTTGGATTTGAGGACCACAGTCCGGCCTCTCCACTGGGCCTGCAGCACTTTCTTGCCACGCTCGTAATACAGGCAGCGTTGGTACAGCAGCTCCCCAGTCACACAGAGGTCCTCGCACAGGGCACCTGTGAGCCAGCCACCACGGTAGTCCTGGCACTGGAACGGAAGGGAAGAGTGGGTCACAACAGGGCAGGGATAGGGGGCAAGGGACAACACATGTTGCCACCTTGCACTCAGAGGCTTCTAAGTTAGCAGAGGAGAGAAAATGCCCAGACGAGAGTGTTGGAGGCCACTGGGTGGTAGGTTCAGGCAACCACCTGTACCTGTCAGCTGCCCAGCCAGCCCTCTGCTAGAAATTCTGATTAAATATTGCATCTGCAGGGAACATTACAGACTATTTCATTTGTCATCACTCCTCCACAGTACAGGATAGCAAGCACTTTGCAGGGGTTATCATAAGAAATGTGGAGGTGATTCCAAATATGGAGAAAGGTGTACACAGCTACCACACAGACACTGGGCTGTCGCAGAAGGCACCAAAGCCCTTGGGTTGAGTTAGAAGAGAAGTCCATCATGATTATCTCACTCAGCAGAGCTGAGGACCTGGTCTTCAAAGCCATGCATCTGGAGTCCAGGAGCTCATCCTCTGTAGTGGACCTGTGTGGACCCGAGGAACCCTGAACCCAGGCCATAACTCAGCTTTGACTCCACGTTGGAGGCTCATCCAAAGCCTTTTAACACTCACATACCAGAACAGCCAGGTTGGAGGAGGCCTCAGAGCCTCTCCTACCCTCTCCTACTCTCAGAGCCAAAGTACTGTCTCTTCCAACATGCACACACCTGTGTTTGCTAGTTTCAACCATGAGGTGGTGTGGTCTATGTGTTTACATTCTGACATCCCTCAGGATGTCAGATCGCATGCCTGGTGGAGCACACAGAAGGCACCAGGAGGAGTGTCTTGTGACATTCTGGTAGTCTTCAGTCACAGCAGCAGTGAGAGAGATACCCAGGAGCCTTAGATGGGGAGTTTCTTGTAAACCTCACGGGGCTCCAGGATAGATCCACCTGGGATGGGGGAGCCTGGTGACCTTCCCTACCACACGATAGTTCCCTAGGAAGACTATCGTATCTGACAGTCCCTCAACAAAGAGGAAGGGCCACCAAAAGGCACGTAGTGAAGGGAGAAAAGAGTCACAATTCTGTTCTTTCGTCTTTACCATTTTCATGAAGCCCAAGTCTCTGGACTTGTGTGTATTACGGGGTGAGCATAGTTTCTAGGCCCCCAAAATGAATCCCACACATTTCCAAATACCAGTTGTTCTCTCCCAAAATGTCCATAGCACACGAACCCACACTCACCTTACTCCTTATATGGTCCTAAAATGGGAATAAAATCTCACAGTGTCTTTTCACCCTGCTTTGTTTATCGCCACATGCCTGAATGATCCTGAGTGGACGCTGTGCAGTGTGGCACTGCGAACTAATCACTGGGCCCATAGCCACAAGCCTGAAGTCTGACCTCACCTGCTGGACTGCAGTGTTGCCAGCCTGGTCAGGGCTTCAGGTCCCTGCTTTCTCTTACCTGGCACGCCGCCGCCTGTACAACCAGTGAGAAGCACATGCAGAAAGTACAAAGGAGGACTCCGGGCCAGGCCTACAAGACGGTCTTCCAACCGCATCAGATATGTCAGCCTGCTCTCTTCAAAGACGGGCGGGTTGTTTCACATTAGTCAGCTTTATTGTTCCTGACTCGATTATAAGATGTGCTTCAAAGTCAGGAAAATAAACTTCTAGTGCTCAGACACAATTTCAAAACCGCAAACTGTCTGGAAACCACAAGCTTTCGTGACTCATTTTGGTCACATGTGGTGTCAAGCATGGCCTGTTTGACTCTGGGACTGTGTACATCTGCCTAAGAAGTCCTGACTGGTGCTACCCCATCTCTGCATCATGCAAAGAGTGGGAGTTCCAAACCCTATGGAACCTCAGAGTAGTCGATAAGAAACTGTGGACTTTTATGAATACTCAGACACAGTGTTCGAAGTGCCTGTTAATGAAGAACACACCCATGCGCTGGTGCCTGGTTTGTCAGACCACTTAAGACAGTAATTTCACAACAGCCCAAAAACCTGAAGTCTCAAGGTCTGAACTGCTGTCCCCACTGGCTTCCTGCCGGGATGTCTCTCCTCCTATGGTGGCTTTTATAACTCTCTGTACCACAGAGACTGAGGCTTTCACTAGTCAAACACCAGGTTACTAGCCTTCTTATAACGGAGTTCTGCAGATAGAAAGTCTGGGACCCGGGGCTGCAGAGGTGGCTCGCAGTACATCCTGCTGCTCTTGCAGAGGACCTGGGTTCAGACCCTAGAACTCACATGGTACCTCTCAACCATCTGTGACTTAAATTCCAGGGGGTCTGACGCCCACTTCTGACTCAGGCATCAGGCACACACATGGAGCACATACATGAATTTAGTCAAAGCTCATATACATGAAATAAAATAAAATTTTAAAACAGAAAGAAAGTTCTGGGCCTGATCTCCCAGCTAGAGAATGGCACCATATGCTTAGAGTTCTGTTGCTGCTGCTGCTGCTGGTGGTGGTGATGGTGTTAGTGGAGGTGGTGGTGATGGTGATTGTGATGGTGATGGTGGTGGTGATGGTGAGTCTGGTGATGGTGGTGGTGGTGGTGTGTGTGTGTGTGCACACAAGTGCGCACGCACGTGTGTTTCCCCCACTTTATCTGGTATTTATAGTTTAAATCACTATAATGAACCAGATAAGAAAATGCAACAGTTTCTTGAGTTCCCTTCAAATTAAACAAGAAAAGCTGTATGACGTCCACAAGTGGCTTGGTTCAATTCCACAAGCGTTTCTCTGCTGCTGCTGCTGCTGCTGCTGCCACTGCTGCTGCATTAGTAATCTCATTGCCTGAGACACAGGGCAGAGCTGAAAAAGAAAAAGCAGCATGTATGGTGAGGGAGAAGACCTGAGGTGGGCTCTGCAGAGTCCCTCAGAGCTGCCAAGAGCATGCGAGCAGCCAGTCCCTGATGAAACCCAAAGGGGCCCTGGGACAAGGTCACGGCCAAGGCCCTGAGTCCTGACTTCACTCTCATCTGGGCTGCAGAGCTAGTCTAGTTTGCTTATGAATAAAAACTATGTGTGGCAATGCACCCTCTTCTCCTCTAAACTGTGACCATCATTGTCACAAACCATGAGTTACACCTATCAAGATTGGTCTGGAACAAAGCCTTGAGGCTTTGTCCCCACCTTGACACAAACAAATTATCACAGACATCTTTCCAAATTTACCCACTTGTGACTGAGTTCTCATGGGGCCACCTTTCCACCACAGCTCTGAGGCACAGTTCATAGCAGAAAGCCCCTGAGTGATGTCAGACACAGCATGGACAGATGGACAGGATGGGAACATAGCAGTTTAGCTTTGGCTGTGCCTCTTACAGGCTGTGCATGTACAATGAGGACAATTGTCCAGGGTCACAGGAGACATCAAAGGTCCAACAGTCAGAGGCACCATCCCTAGCGTTGTGGCTCTGGGTGAGGCAAGTTCCTCTTTCCAGCCTCTCGGGGCTGGTTATGAGATAGTGTCATCAGGGCGTCTTCTTGGGAGGACGGGCTGACCTCAGCGCTAACAGTGAACACAGTGAAGGGAGCCTGGTCATCAGGCAATGAAGCACATGGTGGTTCTGAAACAGCCCAACTTTTGACAAAGCACCAAGCGTCCAGAGAATCAGAAAGGATGCTTTAGCAATTGAAGCATGGGCCTGAGACAGACTGGAATAGTCTATCAAAAACACTATTCCAGGGCTTGTTGCACAACCATGAGAACGTGAGTTTAGATCCCCATTAGATGTGATAGCCCTCATCTGTAACCCGGTTCTCCCACAGCAAGGAGGAGGCAGAAACAGGAGAGTCTCTGGTACTCGTGGTGGTAAACAATGAAGAGACCCTGTTTAAACAAGGCGGAAGTGAGGACCAACACCCAAGGCTGCACTCCGATCTCCACACATGCTCTGTAGGATGCATGTACACATACACATGCACACACTCATACATACACTCATACCCATACATATACACATGCACTCAATCATACATACACACACTTACACATGCATACACACATTCACATGTACACACACATATGCATACACTCATACCCATACATACACATGCACTCAATCATACATACACATGTACACACACATACACATACACACATATACTCATATACACAGATACACATGGACATACTCATACACACACACACACACACACACACACACACACACACATGGGAAAGTCTAAAAGTTTGCTATTTCATAGTCGGCACAGTGATCCTAGCACTGGGGAAAATGGGCAGAAGGATTGCCCTAAGCTTGAGGTTAACCTGGTCTATAGTGATACACTGTCTCAAACAAACCCCACCTCCAGAAAAGCCATTTTCCTGTCCCCCTCTCCCTGACAAACTTCCCAGCTGGCTTCTATCAAATTCTCAGAAAGCTTCCTCAATCCTGGTCTCTCTCTGCTTCCAGCTCTCATTAAATAGCCATGCAAATATTGTCTGTGTTGGTCCCACCAGTATATTGCTTTATAAAACCTGTTTCAGCAGGGAGATAGCACAAAACTATGGAAATGCCCAGAAAATTCACCCCAGCAAACTTGGAAGGCAATTTCCAAACAGGAGTGGGGAGATGCCTTGACCAATGGTGTTATTGCTGAGTTTGTAAAGGCCTAAAGAGCTGAGGGGTGGTGGTCGTGTCAGCTGCAGATTAGCACATTGGCTTTCTGGGAAGCCTGGTGTCAGAAAGGGCAGGGTGTGAAGCGGGGGTGACCAAAAGCCCCCAAGCCTGCAGGCTACCACAACTTCTCCAGGGCTTTTAGAATGAGCGCTCGCTCCGAAGCATACCTGCGTGCATTTACTGCAGAGTGGCCACTGTAATGTTGTCTCTGATGCATCCTTTGCGCGCATTTATTGCACAGCAGCTTCTGTTACTCTGTGTCTGACACTTGCTTCACTTAGCTCCCACCTGTCTTCTATAGATGGAGAACTCTCTTGCCAGTGGTTGGCTAATTTCGAGTGCTAAACTATGCTCTCTGGAGCTTGGCATGACTATGCCTCCTGGATCCAGAGAGAGACAGCCCAGCAAATAAGAAACCAGTAAGATCAACATAAAAATTGCAAGTTTAAAGGGTAACTTTTATTTTATTTTATTTTATTAGCAGTCTATCCTATTGTTTCACCAAAAGTTGTTTAAGTCTGCATTAAAATATGGACTATTTCTCTCCCTCCCCATCTCTAGGATTCCAAGCATGAACCACCCTACCTGGCTTTTTAAGTGGGTTCTGGGAACAGAACTCAGATCCTATACTTGCAGGGAAACTGCTTTGTCAATTCTGTAGTAACAAATTCACAGCAAATCTGTGTTTCTTGTGGATGTGCCCAAACACACACCATCACATCCCTCCCCCTCCAGCTCCTCCCATGTTCCCTTCCCAAATTTATGACCTCTTCTTAAATATTATAGTATATGTGTAGCATGCATATTATAATATATAGTATATATGTAACACCTGTGTATACAACTTACTGAGTACATTTGGCATTACTCAGGGCTGACCACTTAAAGATCAGATCACCTATGGGGCTCATAAAAAGCACCAAGTTCCTACATAATTAACAGCATTCAGCCCTCATGAGAATAGGTCTTCCGCAAGAAGCAGCACTGAGTGTTGTAGATTCTCAGCGAGCATCCCCACCCCCCACACACACACACACACTCACCAATCATGCAAGCCCTCCTCTACAAATGTGGCTGAACCTTTGTAGACAGGGCTGCTCACTGCTGTGAAATCTTTCTGGGCAAAGGCCCAGGCTGCTGTGTCCCCTGGGGATTGTGTAGTCTCTATCATCACACAGAAAAAGATAAGCCTGCCCTGTTAAGAAAAGAAGAGAGAGAGTGAGAAAGAGAGAGAGAGAGAGAGAGAGAGAGAGAGAGAGAGAGAGGGAGGGAGGGAGGGAGGGAGGGAGGGAGGGAGGGAGGGAGGGAGGAAAGAAGGAAGGGAGAAAGGAATGAATCCTTATTCTAGGCAACAGTACTAAATTCCACAGCACCTAACTGGTCTCCCCACACCACAATCTATGGGGAGATTGTTGAGGTTTGGAAAACAGCAGCTATGTAGGGTGAGGAATCCCCTAAGCTCCCTCTCAGAGTTTGCAGTGTAGAGGCATCTTACCATCTCAGGGTCTCTACTGTCCAAGGCACAGAGTAGTGTCTTGGATCCTTTATGAAGCAGGGCAATGCTGTTTTGCCTTCCCAGGCTTAATTTTTTCCATCTGCCAAATGGGAAGTTCTAAAAGTGAATATTTCCTGGAGTTTGTTGAGAGGATTAAGTGCAATAATGTGCCATGTACTATTGAGCATGCTGCTGGCCAGAGTGGACATAGGCAGGCACAGACTGCACTTCCACTCTCTGCTCTGTAAGGTGTTTTCCTACAGAAGCTGGAGGCAGGGGTCGCCAGGGATTATGCTCTCCAGCCACTCCTCAGCCCAGCAGAGCCTCAACACACAGCTCCCGGGATAAATAAGGCTTTAACAACCTCACAACCAAGCCAGAAGGAGTGCCCCTTCCTCAATTTCAGCATAGCTGAAAAGTCACACAAAGAGAGCAGGGAGGACATTGGAAATCCAAAAGACCTGGGGCTCGAAGCTTTCCAAACACGTTTAGCTGGCTTTCCAAGGAACTCTTGTCTTTGCAAGTGTAGGAGACCCTAGGAGGACTTGCAAACCCTTGCCCCTCCCTCTTTACCACCTGGCTGTTGCACTTTGCAGGTCTGCTTTCCCCACTGGCCAGCAATGCTACCTGCTACTCTGGGGCCTGGGAACAGAAGCTGCCAGCATGGGAGACTCACCAGACTATGCCAGAGAGAACCTCCCTTTGGCTCTAATGCCTTGTGTGCTCTGGGTACTTGGAGTGAAAGCTAATGAGAGTCTGGAGGCCAGTCAGAAAAATAACAACCGGTTTTATTATGTAGGATGAAAGCCAGGCAAAATGCAAAGTGCCGAGGGGGCTGGGGAAAGCCAGGACACAGAGGCCCGATTCAGTCCTCAGAAGCCACAGTGCCAACCTCTGCTTGGCAGTTGCCTAGCTAGAATAGCATTTTAGCCTGTCCTAATTTAGGGTCTTAGGTAAAAGTTGAGTCAGGGTACTTTCTCCGCTTTGCCTCAGCAGATTCAGAATGAAAGCAGGAAGAAAGGAGGCACAGGAGTAAAGAGAGATGTTTGCTGTGTGAAGAAGTCACACAAGGAATCCACAATGTCCCCTACAGCGGTTCACCTGGGACTCCAGCGAACAGTGGGGAAACAGCTTTGGGAAATTGGCAAGAGCCAAGATTGAGAACTGTCAAAGACAGAATCAATCTTTCCAGCTCCCTGTCAGACTAAAAAACGATCCCATGTGGCTGCATCGAAGACATATTGGTAAAGCTTCTAAACAGAATTGGTTTTAATTTACAGCCTGGAATGCTGGCAAAGTTATGACTACCAATTACTTAAATTATATCAGTCAATTTAATTTCCATTAGGCCTTCCTCAGCATGACCAAAGCTAAATAAATAAATAATGGGCTTTGTTTCCTATTTTAATCTAAAAGATTATATGAAGTTTGTAAATGGGACCTGGGTCTTAGCCAAACTATTAAATTTTGTTGTCTTAATCAGCTGACTTCACCAAAATAGCAGGGGGAAGATCTCTACAAGCAAAGGGATTTTCTGATGGCTACCCAGAAGATCAATGAGATCTTGCAACTTAAAACGTGATAGAACTTCAGTTAAGCAGTGAGCAGTGGACAGAAAGTCTATGTCCCTATGTCAAGAAAGCAGGTTAATACGGTGACAGGAGCATCATTTAGTTTGGAAACATGCTTTGGTTGCTTAATTTTTCCAATCTCCTTTGAAAGAGCCTTTAAAAAATACTTAATACACTTAGAAATTTTCACAATCTGCAAACAAACGAACAAAAAGCACCTTTATAATAAGCAAGTGTACTGAAAAACCCCAACCATTTATTCGAGATTTCAAACTACATGAGCCGGTGGTCAGTATTTTAGGACGTGAACGGTCATCGGGAGGAGGCAAGTACAGGCTCCTTTCTCCTCCTTTCCAAAGGTCTGGGATGGCTGCTCAGGTCTCCCTTAAACATGAATTCCCAAGCAGAATCCGGGGATGGGGGTGAGCATTTTACTTCCGGGAAGAAGACTCAGGCTTCAGCAGTTCGCTGATGTGATGTTTTCATGCACTACACAACAGCCTGGCCAGGTTAAGGACCAACTTGGTGAAAATCCTCTGACCTTCTCGCTTTAGGGGACCACGGTGAAGCAGGGGAAGCTGGCTCCCTGACTGGCTATGACTCTTAGAGTGTGTCTGTCTCCATTCCTCGGGACCCCAACAGCCAGCCACAGGCCTTGTCTTTAGGTCACCAGGAGAAGGAGCCCAAGCAGCAGTCACCGGGTTTGAGCAGGTGACTGCAGCCCAGGTGGGAACACTGAAGGTAGCCCAGGAAGGAGGCGTGTCCTTCAAAGCTGGCCACCTGAATTCTAGGTAGACACCAGAGACCAGGAATCGCCAGCAAACTTTCTTCTGGAGCCGAGGCTCAGGGTGTCCTACTGGAATACTGTCCCGGGATGCAAGACTAATTTTGAATTCAAAAAGGGGAGGGAAGTCCTGGACACCCAGTCCTATGCCTGGATATTTCACGCATGCATAGGGACCTCCACTCCCCTTGAACGGTGTCCCCCGACCACCCCATTCCCCGGTTAGGATGGTCGCTACGATGCTGTAGCATCGCAGGTGACCCGGGCACCGAGGACCCGGGGAAGGTGTCTGGGAACCCAACACGGACGCGCGGGCAATGCGGCGGCGGGACCTACCAGCGCGGCCAGGATGCGCCGGCTCTTCTCGTCGGTGCAGCGCTCGGAGAGGACGCTCGGGTGCGCGCGGAGCAGCAGCGC